GGCGCTGGCCGGGATGGCCGGCGGCGGGCCGACGCTCCGGGTGCATCGGGTTTGCGGGGCGGGGCGGGGGCGGAGACGGCGCCGCCGCGCCGACGCGCTGCTTTTCCGACCGCGGCCGGCCATCGCCGATGGCGGCGGTCATGCTGCAGGCGCGGGGGGCGGAGCGGCCGGAAAGTGGAAGAAGCGGAGGAGCGGGAGGAAGAAACCTCCGGCGCCGGCCTTGGCGGGGCCGCCTGCGCGACCGCAGCCGGAGACGGCGGCTGAGGCGCCGCAGCGGAGGCAGGGGACCGCCGATGGCGCCCCGCAGTCATCCGAGGTGGTGGGCCGCCGGGAGCGCCGGAGGAAGGCTGCGGCTGCTGCTGCGCCGATGCCGCCGAGGGCGGCGGGCGCGGCGCCGCAGCGACCGGCGCTCCCAGGGAAGCGCGGGGGCGACCGTCGACCCCCGCGCGTGCCGAAGCGGGCTGCGGTCGCCCTGATCGTGACTCCGGGCAGCCAGACATCGTATTCCGACGTCATGCGTCGTGCTGTGGCCGGGTTCAAGTTGGCGGAGCTCGGAATTACCGACCTCCGCTACCGGAAGGGGTAAACAGGGTCCTCCATTTTGGAGGTCCCCGGACCGGACAGCGCCGCTAAGGCTGACGCCATTGCGGCGCGCCTCGGCGAGGTCTTCCGTGGCACGGAAGTCCGGATCTCGGGGCCGGTAAGGACCGCCGAAATGCGGCTGGCCGGCCTCGACGAGTCCGTGTCCGCGGTGGCCGTGGCGGCGGCGGTCGCCGCGTCGGGGGTTGCGCGGCTGCGGAGGTCTGGGGCGGCGAGATCCGCCGGAACCGGTCCGGCCTCGGCACCACGTGGGTGCGGTGCCCGCTAGTCGCTGCGAAACGGCTGACGACGGCCGACCACCTCCGCCGTCCCGACGGTGGCGCAAGGGGTGCAGCGCAGCGGCCACGCCGGCGGCGGCGGCGGCCGCTCCGGCTGCTCTGACGCAGCCGAGGGATAGCCAGCCGACGAGTTCGGCTGGCGACCCGCCTCCGACGTCGCTGGCGTCTGCGGTGGAGGAGGGCGGATCCGGTCGGGGGGAGGCTATGGTTACGGACTAACCTTCCCCCCTATGGTCCGGATCCTCCAGGCCAACCTCAACGGCCGGGGGGAGGCTATGGTTACGGACTAACCTTCCCCCCTATTGTCCGGATCCTACAGGCCAACCTCAACCTCTGGGCACGGGCGCAGGACTTGTTTGTCCATAGCCTGGCCGAGTTGAGGGTTGGCCTGTGGCCTGGCTGTCGCCGCGGAGCCGTACCGGGTCCCGGACCACCCCGATTGGGCGGGGGACGCGCCGGGCTCCGTGGCGATGGTCAGCGACGGAGCCGCGCCCCTGAGCGTCTTGACGCGCGGGCGCGGCTTCGTCGCGGCGCTGTATGGGCGCCTCGCGGTGGTCGGAGTTTATGCCCTTCCGAGCATGCCCCTTGCGTCATTCGAGACGTTGTTGGACGGGATCCGGGACTTTGTGTCCCGCGACTCGACCCGTCCAACACTGGTCCTGGGGGACTTCAACGCGAAGTCCACCCTTTGGGGAAGCCCCAGAACTGACGCGAGAGGTGATGCTGTGGAGGAATGGGCGGCGAGTGCGGACCTTCGGCTGCTCAACCGAGGATCTGCGAGCACGTGCGTGCGGTGGCAGGGAGAGTCGATTGTCGACCTCTCTTGGGCAACGCCCGCCGCCGCGCGTATCGTGTCGGCGTGGAGGGTGGCGGAGGAGGTGGAGTCGCTCAGCGACCACCTCTACATCGTATTCGATGTTTCCGCCACCCATCGACACCACCCCGCTCTCCAACCGGACGCTGGCCGACCGCCGCGTAGATGGGCGCTCAAGCGCCTGGAGGAGGACGCACTGATGGCAGCGGCCCTCGCCGTGTCCTGGCCGGAGGCTCCGGCCGGACCGGTCGCGGACGTCGACAGGGAGGCTGAATGGTTCTGGGAGGCAATGGCGGCTGTGTGTGACGCAGCCATGCCCCGGGCCAGGAAGCCCCCTAGGCGGACCTGGTATTGGTGGAGCGACGAGATCGCTGCGCTGCGTGACGTGCTTCACCAGGGCTCGCCGGCGACGGAACCGCGACTTGGCGAGGGAGCACGAGCTCTACGGGGTCTACCGACGAGCGACGGTGGAGCTCCAGAGCGCCATCAGGGAGGACAAATCCCGTGCCTGGGGTGAGCTCCTCGAGATGTTGGACCGTGACCCGTGGGAGCGCCCGTATCGCATCGTCCTGGGACGCATGCGGCCGGCGGGGCCCCCGGGCATGTAGTCTCTTAACCCCCACGTTTTTGGGCGTGTCTTCGACGCCCTCTTTCCGGACAATCCGGAGGAGGGCTCGCGGCCGCTCGGGCCGACGGACCGGAGCGACTGGTCCGCCGAGCTGGGGGTCACACAAGAGGAGCTCGCGGCGGCCGTCAAGCGCCTCGGGGCCAATAAGGCCCCGGGGCCTGACAGCGTCCCCGGCCGGGCGCTGGGTTTGCCCTCACGCGTCCTCGGGCCCCGACTCATGCGGCTGTTTGACGGCTGCATGATGTCGGGACGGGTCCCGCTTCCCTGGAAGCGGGGGCGGATGGTTCTCGTCCCCAAGAAAGGAAAGCCCGCGGACTCTCTTTTTTGCGTACCGGCCAATATGCCTCCTCGACGAGGCGGGCAAGCTCTTCGAGCGCGTGCTCGCTGTCCGCCTGTCGAGGGGCATGTCCGACGGTGGTCCCGGTTTGGCAGATTGCCAATACGGTTTCCGCGAGGGACGGTACGACTAGCTACGGACGCTAGACGCGATAGACCACGTGCGTTCCCTCGCGGACCGGGCAGTTTCCCGCGGTGGTGTGGCGTTGGCGATCAGTTTAGATATCGCCAACGCCTTTAACACCATCCGCTGGGACACGATCCAGGAGGCACTCCGGGACCACGGGGTGCCTCCGTATCTCCGGATCGTGTTGCGGGACTACCTGTCGGACAGGGTGATTGAATACCCCGGCCGGGGCGGCGTAGTCATACGTCGGAGAGTCAGCCGAGGCGTGCCCCAGGGGGCCGTTCTTGGACCCCTACTGTGGAACGTGGGGTACGACTCGGTGTTGCGCGGGCTCCTCCCGCCCGGTGTGCGTGTCGTCTGTTATGCGGACGACATGTTGATCATCGCGGTTGGGAGAGAGTGGACGAGGACCATACGCATTGCGGAGGTGGCGGTGGCGCTGGTCGTCACCAGGATCCGAGACCTGGGGTTGCAGATCTCGCCGCCAAAGACGGAGATAGTCATGTTTCATGGGCTGCCTCTGTCGCGGCGGGTCCCCCAGGCCTGGATCCGTGTAGGAGATGCCTGTGTCCGGGGCGAGGGCCGAATGAAGTACCTCGGCCTCGACCTGGACAGCCGCTGGCGCTTCGAAGGACACTTCGACCGCCTGGCCCCCCGGATTGAGGGCGTGGTGTCCCTGTTGGGTCGCCTGATGCCCAATCTCGGGGGGCCGGAGGAGAGTGTACGCCGCCTCTACATGGGGGTGGTGCGGGCGATGGCCCTATACGGGTCACCCGTGTGGGCCCGCGACCTGATGGCCAGCCAGCAGGGCTGGCAGCTACTGCGGCGCATTCAGCGCCGCATGGCCATCAGGATCGCGAGGGAGTACCGCACCATTTCCCATGAGGCGGCGGTCGTCCTGGAGGGGGTTGTGCCCTTTGACTTCCAGGCGGAGGCTGACGCCGATCTATATCGGCGTCTGCAGGGCCTCCGCCGGAACGGGGCCGACCTTCCGGACGACGCGGTCGAGGTGATGAAGCGCCAGTGCCGGCGGCTCGCTCGCGAAAAGTGGCGGCGCCAGCTGTATGACAGCGGCGCCGCTCGGCAGCGGGCCGTGGGCGCGGTCCTGCCCACCCTGGATGGGTGGCTGGACCCTCGGCACGGCAGGCTCTCCTACCGGCTCACGCAGGTGCTCGCCAGGCACGGATGCTTCTGTGAGTACCTGCAGAAGGTTGGAGCCGAGGCGACGGCCGAGTGCCACCAGTGCTGCGCGGAGCTGGACTCCGCGCAGCACACATTAGAGGAGTGCCCGGCCTTCTCCAGGGAGAGGTGGGCACTCCGGCGGGAGATAGGAGGGGACCTCTCGCTCCCGGCCATGGTTGCGGACATGGTGGGGAGCGAAAGGTCGTGGAAGGCGGTGTCCTCCTTCTGCGAAGCCGTCGTGCCGCAGAAGGAGGACGACGAGCGGGGTCGCGAGGCGAGCGACCCCGCTCGCCGCGAGAGGAGAAGAGCGAGGCGGGGTCGTGGGCGGGGCCAAGTGGCCCGCGCAGCCGGCCCCGCCGACGCTGGCGGGGGGCCGGTCCCCCCGTAGGCAGGCGGAAGCCTGCGAGAATGGACGGACGCGTGCGCGAAACTCGCGGAGCCGCAGCTGCTGCGGCTCTTGCCTGCGCGCGCGCGTCCGGCGGGGCCGCTGCGGTCGGGGTGGGGACCCTGACTGCATACCCCTGGGGGCGACATACTGCCCCCACGGAACAGGGCTCCCCGACGTTATGGGGAGCATAGAGTTCCGCCTGAGACGGCTGCCGCGGGGGTTTTAGTGGGTGCAAGCCCCACACTACCTCGGAGTTCCACCCCAGGACTCCGGGGTGTGCGTATAGGCATTTCCCCCGTGTAAAAAAAAAAAAAATGTGGCAGCACTTGGTTAGCGGCACAATATGGCTGAACATGGAGTATCGTACCTTCCCCTCAGAGCATCGCTTAACGCGTCCAGAAGTCTACTTTATGCACCGTTCTTTAGGTCCATACCCGTAGCCATATATACAGATCAGTGTCCCTCACAGTACACATTCGCACATATTTCCTGTGGCGCATCAGGACGCATGCGGCATACGTCTATTCTTGTTTTAAAACATAATGTACCACGTACAATATGATTGCAACGCTGTGTGGCTAGTGGAAGATTCACGAAACTTTTGTTTTTTCTTACGGGATCACCCCACCATGAGAGTTTCCGGACCTGTGTATACGACCGTGGTAAGGATTTCGGGAGTGCCAAAAGTGGGGCAGTCATAGCATCCGCGCGCACCTCTTGCCCGAGGATGGCAATACAACATAAGCAAGTGATGGGGGATGGTGTTATTGTATACATGGACCCACGGGCGAATGTTTGACCAGGCCTGCGTAACAAAACTCTCGATATATTCCGGCAACTATGCATTTCGTGCTGCGAGATTACATGTACCGTCTAATTTCTAGTTTCGTCGATAGTGATCGATAGTATACTCTTGTATATTCTTGAGTCTGAACGAGTCAAATCGTAGAATCCTACTTACGTCTTCCAGAAGTGTAAATTAACAAAAATCGCATTTCCACGATAGTGTGATAGTAATATGCAGGGTGATCTGCTCTACTTTTGTGTCTATCTCAATCGCACACTTTATAAAATTCTAATTCTTGCAACGTACGATTTTATTGTTGTTTTCAGGACCAGACCACCCTATAGTGAAGATTACCCGTGAGTGTTATACCTGCGAAACTTCATTTGTGCAAGTATCCAGGCGTCAGTTGGATTATACGAAATTAACTGTCTCTCTCGTACATCGCATATACATATACGGTTCCCGTCGGTTATGCGAGCGCTAGCACACAGCACACGGCACACGGCCTACGGAATCTGCCCCTTTAAGTTTAGATTGGGAAAGATTTAAATGAAACATAATAAATTACTTTATCAAAGTTGGATAACTCTTCATAAATGTTTAAAAATGGAATTTCTGGGACATGTTTCTTAAATTTTTGACGTAAACTGTTTACGTATTGCAAATATTTCTGTAGTTCTATGACATCATTGTTAAGAGGACAGTCCGCAAGTATATTTGTTGTTTCATTCCTAATGTTTGCCTTTCCATGTGCCATGCTCATGTATGAACATGTTTTCTTCAAATTTCTGAAAACAGTAATTAAAGTAAATGCAAAAACATTAATCTTCTGCAATGAAAATGAGAGATTATTATAGTATAGATATACCTTATTATATAATTTGTATATATTTAAACTCTTGAACTAATGGAATTAAACTTCTACATTAACATTATATTATAATAAACATCTGTCACCTTACTTCTCCAACACAAGAATGTGAATGTTCCTTAAAATCTGCTAAGATCGAATTAACTACTGTAGTGGGATTAAAATTAATCCATGTTAGAGTTTTCTTAATTTGTGCACCTCTAGTATTAGTATTGTATGACTTTCCAAAAGATAGATTTGAATTGAATGGTTCCATATAGCTAGCATGCAATGTAATTCTTATTAATTATCAAATAATAAATAATTAAAGCATAGTTTAGAACAATTTATCATTTTATTATCTCATACTTCCTTTTAATTTGTTCTGCAGGCTGATAATGGTTATGACTTTTTCTATACATTTCAAGAATATCTGGCTTTAAAGTATCAATTTGATTTGTATTTGTCCGAAGTAGTTCAGCCATAGATGCTTCTGATTATTTGGAAATATGAAAACATGTATTATTAAAAACATACTTTACAATAATTTTTTTAGATTTTTTATTTTGTTTATACCATGTTTAAGTTTCTTTCCAAAAGTTATTTCCAATGGGTTCATACCCATTGGTAGATTTGGAATGTGATAACGTGTTTTACCAACTTCTTTATTCCAATAGCTGTTAATAACAGTATTTCGTAATTCAGAAATAAGCATTTGAAACTGTGTTTCTTGATGTACTTGCAGGCATTCCTTTACCTAAATTGTTGATTATATATGTTATCATAATTGTTTATTAAATACAATTTGAATAGTTTTGTTAGCATTACAAAATAATAAATCACAATCTTACACCAGTTGTAGTTTTAGTTACAAAATCCTTATGCAGTGGTAAATCTTGTTCATGTTTCTCATTACAAGCAAGCATAGATTTCAAAGCTTCGACTTTATCCTCCATGGAATATTCTGTGAGACAATCTTTAACATTGTATCCTTTATTTTTATTTTGTGTCTGAAAGTAAATAACCATAAAGATATCAATTCTTTCATATGGAGGTTTATTACTGACCTTTTGTATAATACAACATATGGATACAGAGTCAACTACTTTTCCCTTAAAGAAGAATTTGGAAAGAAAGTATTGTAAATTATGTTGTCTATAATTCTGCATGTAAAATTACTAAATTAACTTTTATTGATAGGTATAACTTTATGTGAAAATCTTTGATAATGCACTAATTATGTGATATTACATAAAAATACAAATGAACATTTTTCATATTCGTATTCACACATATTACTAACATAAACATAAAGCCAATATCATGAATTATTACTCTTCTAAATAACAATAATATATATGAAAAAGTTTTCAGCATAAATGAAACTTTATATAGTTTTAGCAATATATCATAAATCGAGCGTACACTACTAATTCTATGTCATCTTTTTATCAGTGTAATTTAATTACCAATAGTAATAAAAAAAATGTGTACATTTATATTTAATTACCAAAGAACTTATATAGTAAAATTAAATTATCTCATAATGTTAATAATACTCCATCTTACACATGTTTTGTTAAAAGAATTTCTGCTTTCTTGAATTTGATCCAAAAATTCATTTTGCGCGTGTATACAACACTTTTTCATCTTTACTTATATGTATAACGTATAATTGGGACACAACACAGTTTACCAATAGTTTTTCAATGTGACAAAAGAGATTTAAAATTATTAGTACAACTTGATACAACTACAATAAAATTGGGAAAGACAAAACATAGTTGTATAATTGCATGTTCTTTTTTATGTATATTGTATATTACTTACAGCTTATACAGGGTGAGGCACTAACTATGCCACCTAGAATAACTCCGAAAGTATGATAGTAGTAGAAAAGTTTTCGAAACAAAAGTTGCATGGGACAACGGGGGCTGTTATATGACGTTAGTTTTTTGTTGCTAGGTGGAGTAGATTCAGAGATTTGAAGGTCAACTTTGTTTTTCTAGATAGAATGCTATGTTTTGTTACTTATTTTCTGGTAGCGGCTATCGAGACGAATCCAATGATGTGCAACATTAAGGTCTTTGAGGGTCAACGAAGGTTATTTAAAGCAAAAAGGTGAAATGAACTTACATTTACAGAAGGTGTTCAAAGTGATTACCATTGGTATCAATGCAATGCTGCAATCTCCTTATCACGGATTAAGTACTATTTCTTATCACTTCGGCACTTATCGAATCACATGCTCTAACAATTCTCTCTCGCATTTCGTGCAAATACAGTAAATATTTACTAAATACGGCGTATTTATCAAACCTGACAATGTAAACACTGTTCGGACGATATCGCAAGACAACAATAACAGCGGTGTACGAAGAACGTAACAAGTAATAAGAGCGGTAAGACTAGTATCATCGAATATCTTTCGAAGAACAAACCGATATGCTTCTCAATTACGGAGAATGCCAGCAAAATTCAGTGAGAGCTAGAGACTTATACGCTGAAAGATATCCTCAACGTTCTCACCCTACACGCCGTACATTTAAATATTTGTACGATAAATTGAGAACAACTGGATCCTTAACCCATCGGAAAAATAGCCGGTAAAAGCAAGTAAGTAACGAAGAAACGGAAATTGGTATTCTTGCCACTGTGGTTTGAGATCCTTGTGTTAGTTCGCATCAAATCACAAGGGAATCTGGCGTAAGCCAGAGAAGTGTTATTCGTGTTCTGCGTCGCCATAAATATCATCCTTACCATATCAGTCTTCACCAAGAATTAACTGGTACGGACTTCATGAATCGCATTGAATTCTGCCGATGGGCTCAACTCCCGATTCAGAGAAATAACTCATTTATTAATTGGATTTTATTTACTAATGAGGCAACATTCACGAATCATGGTAATATTAATTTGCATAACATGCATTTTTAGTCAACTGAAAATCCACGTTGGCTGCGGCAAGTTGCACACCAAAAACCGTGGTCGGTGAATGTATGGTGTGGGATTATTGAGGACTGAATTATCGGCCCCTATTTCATCAAAGGAAATCTTAATGGTAGGAAGTACACCACATTCCTTCAAGAAACATTAGGTACGTTATTGGAAGAGATACCTTTAGAAATAAGGAACAGAATGTGGTATCAACACAATGGGTGTCCGGCACATTTTTCGCTGGTGGCTAGAAAGGAATTGCAAAGAAGATTTCCAAATCGTTGGATTGGACGCGGAGAAGCTGTACCGTGGCCGCCCCGTTCGCCAGACTTGACGCCTCTGGATTTTTTCTTGTGGGGATTCTTGAAAAACATTATTTATAAAGAAGTTCCAACTACGCCTGAAGATATGCGAGAGAGAATTGTTAGAGCATGTGATTCGATAAGTGCCGAAGTGATAAGAAATAGTACTCAATCCGTGATAAGGAGATTGCAACATTGCATTGATACCAATGGTAATCACTTTGAACACCTTCAGTAAATGTAAGTTCAATTCACCTTTTTGCTTTAAATGACCTTCGTTGACCTTCAAAGACCTTAATGTTGCACATCATTGGATTCGTCTCGATAGCCGCTACCAGAAAATAAGTAACAAAACATAGCATTCTATCTAGAAAAACAAAGTTGACCTTCAAATCTCTGAATCTACTCCACCTAGCAACAAAAAACTAACGTCATATAACAGCCCCCGTTGTCCCATGCAACTTTTGTTTCGAAAACTTTTCTACTACTATCATACTTTCGGAGTTATTCTAGGTGGCATAGTTAGTGCCTCACCCTGTATAAAGTGAGAAGACCTTTTTTTAATACGTTTACAACGAACGGACAGAGGAGAATCCGTTTGCCACATGAGGCAGCGATCTCTTCGATTTATTATTATTAATTATTATTCACTTTTGAGAAAACAAGACTAACCATAACAATTCATTCATCACCAGTTATAAACACCTGTGTGTGATAAAATGATCATATAGTTCGTTTCAAAATTGACTGCAGACAAAAAAATGTTCCATAATGTCAATAATATTGATTTCCCCGCAACATCCATAATTATTACAAATGTCAATACAACGAAATATCTTTTATGCGATGTTTGTGATGAAATAAAAATCTGTGTTTCGATTACGTTTTTGATACGTATTACTCACTTATATGTAATAATATATACTGGGCGCCAAAATTAAAGCATCACTAAAATTTGCCGAAAATATTGGTCATTTTCAGATGCCTATATCTTCGCGAAAAATAGCTATAAAAAATATTGTGACAGAGCATTTTGTAGCCCGAAGTTTCTAGTTTTTGAATCGGGAATTTAAAAATTATTTTTATGTAATTTGTTTCTTTTTTTTAAAAGATGAAGCGCAGTAAGCGAATGTTAAAAAATGTTGGTCAAGTTTGAGAGGATGCATGGGCCAAATGAAATTTTTTCTGGTAATTCCAATGGAAAACTTTTAAAAAGCAAACATTTCTCTTTAATTCCGTTTTTTTAATTTTGTTGTACAGTTTTTATTGGCAGAGTTATTCGTCATCATATGAGAAAAGGTACTTTCCACTTTGACCGCCTGTAACTTGCGAACGCATGATCGTATAGAAAATTCCAGAAGTGATTTGGAAAGTTGAGAGATTTCTCTTTAAAGACCTTTAGTTGCCAATTTGTTGAAATTTTTTTTCGTCGTCTACAGTCCATTTCAAAATAACGTAAAATATTGCATAATTACCATTTTTCACAAAACACGATGCCATTTTAACAAAAATTGTGGAATCTTCCAGGTGTCTACGTTTTTTTTAAGTTAAAAGTACACGTAACCCCTGTACCAAAGGCCGCATTGATCAGATTTTTTTTACCCTGTGCCCTCGATAGTGAAACTTGCGATACAGTCTGAAAAATTGGTGAATGACTCTTTTGCGGCACGTGTCCTCTTTAAAACGATTTCGCAGCGTTTGAACAGTTGTGGTCTGTGTCTTCTTAGTTTCACTTTATTTTAGAAGAAAATAGAGATGTCAGAAATTTAGCAAACACATTTTTATACAATCTCTTCGCAATGACAAAAAGTGAACAATGCGAAGTGACGAGAGGGTGCAGATGGTGT